ATGCTGGAGGAGATGTCAGTAGGCCTTCGGTGATGGTGGAGTGATGTAGAGGAGAAAGACATTCTCCAGGCTGAGGAGCTCGGGTGCCACGGTCGGCTGGATTGCATTCTCCACGAACATGACGGATTGATATTTGTAAACCCTTGTTGGTCAGGTCGTTGACAATATCTTCGACGATCTTGAGACGGCGTTGTTCGAAGCGTCCAAGCTTAGCCTTGGCCGACTCGTTCTTGCGAAGACGATGAAGATTGATGGCGCTGTCCGTGAGGATCATATACCGTGATGGTCTTGGAGGATTGAGTCGTAGTACCTGATCAATCTTCTCAGTAAGCTGGACGGCATTTGTGAGCGCGATGAGCTCCTTCTGGACAATGGTCTGTCGAGCTGCTTGATCCACCGGGAAGAGCGAGAAACGACCAAACAACCGAGTATGGGTCGGGGTTCCATCTCGTACGTCCACGCAGTAGGCTCCACCACTGGCATCACAGAACACGAAGATACTCGTAGACGTATCCACATAACGAAGAATAGGTTGTTGTAGGGAGAGTGTACAGATCCAGTTGGCCAAGGAGTTCCGGAAGTCTTCCGAACAGAGGGAGTCCCAGGCTACGTCATTGTTGCCAATCTCACGAGCCAAAAAGCGAGCGAATACCAGACCTTCAAAGAAGAGTCCTAAAGGGTCGTAATAGCGGTTGATGAAACCGATAGCATCACGCTTAGAGATGAGAGTAGGGATCGATGTGCATTCATCGGTAGTACCATATTGAAAAGAAATAGTATCGGACCCTATGTCGACCTTATACCCAAGTACTGATCGATAAGTCGCTGCCGGACACGGCGAGAAGTTGTTGAAGACCTTGGGGTCAGAGATGTCAGAGCCATGACGACGGAGTTTCCATTTCACGTACGCACCTTGCTGAACGATCGCTGCCGGCTGCTCTCCTCGATGGCAGATATCATCCACATATATAACCAAGTCGATCGATGAGGGAACTATCGGCCGATCATCTCGAGGGCAACCTTCGTGTAGTGGGTTGATCTGCTCAGTATCCCACTGATCACCTTGAGAGAAATAGTCTAGAGAATTCTTGTCGTGAGGGTCGAGACCATTAGTCACCACTTCAATCTCTCCTTGGAGCAAATGGGTGTCCTCAGGCGAGTGGGGGTAGTCCCAAGTGATGTCACAGTTAGCGTCAAGCGGTGCATCCAGGCCTAGCACTGTACCGACCGAACAGTCACCGTAGTCGACAATCCCTGGGTCATATGGTGCTGCTTGCTGACCAGGTCTCAGGCGCACTTCCAACTCCCACTGACGGCGATGCCAATTCAGAGAAGAGCGGAGGCCATGTGGGCTATGGCCGAAACCGAAAGGCATCCTTCGGAAGCGGAGAATACGCCCGAGGGCGACTGCTCCAGTGTACTTAGTATCAGATGGGTGGTCTAAGGAAACCTTGAGGAAGGCTTGCTTCAGATCGGCACACTCGTAGAATGGTGCCGTACGCCAAGCCAGCAGGAAGAACCATAGTGACCCTTCACCGTTACCGCAGACCGCAGTCACGTCAACGTACGTGTTGAATTGTCTAGCGTCGAGACAGACCCTGCATGGATGAGTAGGTTTGTCGGCTCTGAAGACCGGTAGAGCAGTCACATAGTGAATGCAAGTAGGCTCAGAGAGCTCTTCTACGATGTCATCTTTCACCAAGGCATCGATAGCGTCAGCATACAGGCGCCTTTGCTCTGGGGAGAGCCTCCTGGTGATCGCACAATCTTTGGCATAGGCGGCCTTGAAGTTAGGAGGTGGTCTCGCAATAGGATCTTTCCAAGGGATCTTGATACAACATCTTCCATCGGGGGCATCACGGTCGTCAACCAGAGTGACAGGGAGGTCCACGGCCTTGGGGCTGTTCTTCACTCGTTGGTGGTTGATAGACACATCGTTGAGGCTCATATCGTTGATGTTCTTCGCAGTCACTTGATGGCATTTCACATAAGGAGAAGGGGCAGTTGCCTCCATATCGGACCTGGGGTCAAGAGGAGTAGCCAGTAGCTGTTGACATTCCTGACCAACTATGATTCTATCTTGTTGAGCAGCATTAGGGTAGATCATCCATACCGCACCACCTGTACGTCGTAATAGACTAGTTGGCACGATGAAGGGGTAGTTGAGCGACCTGACCACTAGTATATCGGCCACGATAGAAGTTCGGTCGTCGAGATGTAGGATCACACTAGCTCTACCGAGAGTCGATGATTGGTGTGAGGGGTTACCGAAGATGATGGTCCGTGGATCAGGGACTAGTGGGAGGACGAGACCAGCATCACACCATCGATTATACTCATCTTCGGCACATAGCGGTTGTTCAGCACCAGAATCCAGTAGAGCGTTAGTAGCTACACGACCTTCGGGCTTGGGCGAGTCGTAGTCAGGTGATGAGATGGCTAATTTTATCATGGGTAATCCAGACCCATCGGAGTCAGTGATCTGGACTACATTAGCCTGAATCTTGGCCCCTTCGGTACCAGTAGAGCTTGAAGGGGTGGTATCGGGTTTCTGAGGTAGTGGTTCGGGACAAGCACGACTCATATGACCTCGCTTCCCACAGCGGTAGCAAT